CAACACCACGCTCGAGCACCTCGAGGATCTGTACATCGGCGGGCACCACCTGCTCTCGCAGCTCATCGACACCCTCTCCGTGCCGCAGCTGCGCTCGCTCGACCTCGACTTTGACGCGCCGCGCGAGCCCATCGAGGAGACCATCTCGACGCTCTACACGCGCTCGCAGAACCCCCTCCTCAAGACGCTCGCGATCTCCTACGGCGGGCCCTCGCCCAACGCGCCCGGCGGCAGCGGCAGCAGCCCGTTCTACTACGGCTACGTCGCCGCGGGGAACGTCGTCTCGTGGGCGTTCCTCGCCGAGTGCGGGGCCACGATCGAGGTGCTCAAGATCGGCGGCGCGGGGCTCGAGGGGCTGCTCACCGCGCTCGGCGCGCCGGACGACCACTCCACTGGGCTCATACCCGTCATGGGCCCCGGCGGCACGACCACGACGAACAGCGCGTGGGTGTGCCCGACGCTGCGCGAGCTGCACCTGCGCGGGTGCCACACGCACGCGCACGGGCACGACGGCGTGGGGAAGCTCGTCAAGATGGTCGACGCGCGGAACCCCGAGGGCGGCGCGGCGCACGCGCACGCGGGCCCGAGCGCGGGCGTGCAGCGGCTCGCAAGGCTGGAGATGGACGACTGCGTGCAGCTGGGCGGGGACGTGCTGTCGTGGCTCGAGGGGCGGATTGGCGTCGGCGCGGTCGTGTGCGTCGAGCCCCCCGCGGAGAGGTACGCGCCGATTTGGATGTAGAGTGCGGTTCTGACAAGGCGTCTCTTCCTGGTAGGTCGCCGATGATGCATGGGCATGGGTTTGTTTTCGCGGGCTGATGCGCCTGCGCTGGTACTTTGCAGTGCCCGCATCTCAACTAATTATCTTGCTTACTTTTGGGGGTCATTTTGCCCGCCCATTGGCACCATACTATCGCCCATCTGGGTCTGGGTCTCGATGTTTTTGCTATTGACCTACGGTACTTTATATCGTGGAGGTCTATCTTCGGTGTACAGCATACAAGGCTTATTCGTTCGTGTACTACTATACTGTATTGGGATTGGGATGACCTACTTACATCTGTATCCATTTATTTACTGCTCTCTTGCTGTTCTGTTCTCCCTTTGATAATAAATCCAAAAGGGACGCTGGAATACCTGTTTTGGAATCGGGCGTTGATCCATACCACCACCACCAGCGAAAATGAGCGTCCTGCGAACGTTCACCGCCTCAGACATGTTCAAGTTCAACAACATGTAGTCTCCCGTGCTCGTACCCCCGTCCTGCCGCTGACGGGCCCCGCAGAAACTTGGACCTTTTCACGCAGACTGTGAGTGTGTGTGCTTGGTGCCACCTGGGAGGGATCTGAAGTGCTACGGCACGAGTAGTACGCATGTGGGTTCTACCTGAACTACCTCGCACGCTGGCCGGACCTCTGCTGCGCGCAAACCGCGCCAGACGGGCGCATGATGGGATACAGTGCGTCTTATAAATGCTGATATCTCGTACCCCTGGGTGAGCTGACGACCACATACCCAATCGCTACCAGTCCTCGGGAAAGCAGAAGGAAACAACCAAGACTGGCACGGACACATCACCGTGCTGACGGTCGCGCCGGAGTACCGCCGCCTGGGCCTCGCGAGCAAGATGGTCGCGCTGCTGGAGCGCGTGTCGGACGAGACGTACCGCGGGTTCTTCGTGGACCTCTACGTGCGCTGTACGAATGACGTGGCGATTGGGATGTATGAGGAGCTGGGGTATAGTGTGTTCCGCCGCGTGAGGCAGTACTATGATAGTCTGGGTGGGACGAGGGGGAGGGATGAGGAGGATGCGTTTGGTGAGTGCCGCAAATTTTTTATAAATTTAGCAGATGAGGGTGGCTAATGTGGATGGCAGATATGCGCAAGCCGCTGAGTCGGGACAGTGGGCGGCGGTCTGTGCGGGCGAATGGAAGGGAGATGCTCGTGACCCGGAACGAGGTGTATTGACCGAGCGCGTTGTTTGTTTTTGGGCAGTTAATTGATTTAGCGGTCTTCTTGGTTCTGGTACGCATCTGGAATTCGCTGCGCCAACTCAGGTGCCCAAGGCTTCGTCGCGTTTATTCTCGAGCACAAGAGGCGGATGATTACATTCGGTATCGCACGCATGGATATCCTCTCATGGCTCACCAAGCCAACTCTGAGCATCATTGGTCTTTGGTACTTGTCTCGGACCCAAACCCGAGTACCTCAACTACGTACCGCATCGGCTCCCTTGTCGATTGCGTGCACTAGGTCTCCAGGCGAAACATGAAAATACAAGATACACTCACTTGAATCGTCATGGCCGAGCTCAAACCAACCAAGTTTTCCTTGCACTCCTCGACTAAGTGAAGCCTTCTTTTGTTGGTCTCATGTTGTCTTTTGGCCGGGGGTTGCTGTTGGACAGTCGGCAACCCTGGCAACCCCCGTATGTTTCGCTCGCCGCACGGGCTCAGTTGGCCTTGCATCTTAACCGAGCGCTACTTAACACAGTTCTGCAGCCAACGGGATTCAATACCAGCGAAATTACCACATTCTTTTTCCCCACCACTCATTCATTCACTCGGAAATGCGCTTCATCTCCACTGCCGTTGTGGCTGCCCTCATCTCGGTGGCCGCGGCTGTGGTTGTCCCCGCCCTCGATGCTAGAGACACGGCGTACCCGCCCACCCAGGCAGACTGCATCGCCAGTCGCAAGTTCATCGGTATCCACGATGGGACCACCACCTTCAGCCCGGCGTGCATGTCTGTTGTCCGTGTGCTCCCTCGTTTTTTTTTCGTTAGCAGGAGACTGACCGTACATTTTGCTGCAGACTAACGCCTGTGTGAACGAGAACGGCACGAGCATCTGGAGCCACGCGGCGTGCGTTGCCGCTGCGACGTGCCAAGGCGTGCGTTCCAGAATCCAACTCTCTCAAATTAATTTCGCGCTCTGACGCACTCGTTTGCTCACTCGCAGACCTCTGGCGTGATCACGCTCAACCAGTGCCAGAATCCGAACGTTCTCCCCGCCTCCGGCATCCCCAACTGGTCTGCCGCGGTTCGCCTTCCTCCTTCTCTCCCTCCTTCTCCTTTCTCCGTGTTCATCTCTGCACGCACTGACCTGCATTCCGCCTCGCTGCAGATTTACGGCTCTATCGTCGGCGACTGCGCCTCCTCCGGCTGCCCCATCACGCAGAAGAACTACATCGACTTTGTCTATGGCCAGATGACTGCCGCAAATGTCACGAATGATTACCCTGCGTGCGTTCTGCTTGCTTTCTTTCCTCCTTCCTTCCTTCCTTCCTTTTTTTTCTTTCTGTTGTTGGAGCGCGACTGATTCAAATTGTGCAACAGCGTCGAGGATGTGATTTCGCAGTGGTGGGACCCGATCACTGCGTGGACCGCGACCGGCGACAGCATTCCGTACAGCAATTTCAACGATTGGTTGCATTATTCGAGCGCTTAGGTGGGGATTCAGAGGGTTGAGAGGGAGGGGTTGAGACGGACTTGTCACTTGCAACCTAGGCTCTGAGCCACACGCACACACACCTATCTTATTGGACATAGTCTGAATTGATACTTGCCTTGGTTTGAATCTCTTTCACGCGAACGTTACTGGTGAATAGATCCTTTCGTTGGCCAAAGCTTCGGGGCGGCGAGACCGCTCTTTTGAAGATACCACCCATAGGTTTTTTCACATCGTCGCTCGCCAATCGCAGCGTCCTGACCGCCTACTTCGTTTCCAAGTGGAAAAAAAGGTGGCGGAGAGGACATTATGTACCAGGCTCGAATCGAACGAGCGCCCACATATGCGACAACAAGATGACTGCAACGTGAGCAGTGGATGCGGACCATCCGCCACTGGGCAATATTCTCGGGCCTGTGAACCCGAACAGGACAGAATCTTTCACGTTACACGTTTTGTTTTTAAATGGCTAGGCATGGTCGAATCAGACGAAAAAAGATATTGCACCTCACCACATGAACGACCGGGGCAGCTTGGGATTGAAGGCATTGAAGGCGTCCTGGAATGGGGAGCTGAGGTGCCAAAACTCTCATAATCCCCGCCTGTTTGGAAAAAAATTAAAGCATGAGCGAAGATCCATTGCTCAGGCTCGGATCGAACGAGCGGCTCCCAGAATGGCAACCTAACACTACTTAGCTAACGCGACGTGGGTGCGGGCCGTCCGCCACTGGGTTTTATTTCTAACCTGTAGGCTCGGTTAGGACAGGATGTTTCTTTCTTGGCGGTTCGATGTTGAAAAAAAGAAAAGAAAAGAATCGAGTCAAAATGAACCGTGTGAGTTGAGTTACGAGGGGAAGTTAGGCTGAATGGATTTGCATCGCGTAGGCAGCCCGGTTGAAGAGGTAAGAGTCTCGCAATGTTTGTGTTGTTGGTTCGAAAGAAAAAGGATTTGAAGACCCTAATAGCCAAGGCTCGAGTCGAACGAGCGATTTGACATATCCGCGATGGCGGTGTTGTGTGGATGCGGACCGCCCACCACTGGGTCTTGCTTCTTTGCCTGTGAGTCTTGGCCATAATGGAATCCTTCGTCGTTGAAAAATTCAAAAGATATAAAACATATTTGAAGCTTAAATCGAACAAGCAACTCCCCCCTACGTGAGGTTGGTTCGGACCAGCCGCGACCGGGCCTTCTGAATCCCTGATCGTACTCTCCAAGCTACGTTAACGTTCACTAGCACTAGCAATTGCAGGTTTTTTCCCCTTTCTGCCGGGCAAGCAAGAAGGCCGTCGTGGCAAGTACAAGCCAAGAAGGAGTCGAGCCGGCATTTCGGGATGAACCGAGTTGCAAAGCGCCACAGGTGAGGTTGAAACTGAAACGTTGAAGTTAAAGAGCTCCGAGAGGAGACACCGATACTAACTGCGAATTGTCGAGGGAAGGGCCCGGGGTAAACATCCTACATAAATCAGACAACGGTTGGATTCAAGGACGGGTCCTGGTTAACTTCTCATCCAAAAGCGCAAAAACAAAAACAAAAAAACCGATGACAACCCTGCATAGCCCGGGCTCGAATCGAACGAGCGTATCTTGCGAAATGCATCAAGTTCAGAACCATCGATTGCATGCAAGCGCGGACCATCCGCAACCAGGCCCTCTAATCGAGAACCTTATTATGCTGGCGACGTAGATAAATAACTTGTCGCCAAGAACGACCTCAGTGAAGCCAAGAAACATGCGGAACGATGAGGAGGAATGTTGGAGGAACAGTGGATTGACATTTCGAAGGCGCCCCAAGTTGAGAAAAGCTAACCTGAATCCTGGACAGAACGAAAAGTCAACGCCGTTTAGCATGATGTGGGAGCAAACCACCCGCCACCGGGTCTTGTTTCCTTGCCTGAAAACGTGGCAAGGATGCAATCATTCTTGTTTTGCCATTCAATAATATTCAATGTCGAGAAAAAAGACACTCAAGCAACACAAGGTTTATAACCCGGGCTCGAATCGAACGAGCGTATCCTGCGAAATGCATTATGCTCAGAACCATCGATTGAATGCAGGTGCGGACCATCGGCAACCGGGCCTTGTGCAGGTAGATGAGACCTTTGTTACGCTGGTAACAAAAAAAACTCTGTTACAGTCACTTGCAGATGAAGTGTTCTTGCGTGTGTTGCCAAGAATAATGTCAACGCTGAAAGCCAAGGATGAACCGAGGTAGGATTGAGTTGCGGAGGTGAATGAAGTTGGAATGGACTGGCATTGTCTCGTAGTCAGGGTTGAACGTGAAGGGCTGGTTTCCAAGGAAAAACGCAAGACAACATGGCACCCTAATGACCCAGGCTCGAATCGAACGAGCGGCTTCCACATGCAATGCTGATTTTCGCGCAGGCGAGGTGGGTGCGGACCATCCGCGACTGGGCGTTCCTCACCGCAGATATTCGTGGGCTAGGTTAGCTTTTTTGTCGCGCGAAAAGAAGAAGGCTGTCGTGCCAGGTACAAGAATTTCGCAAGGCAAAATTTGAAGGAGTGGAAGCAGGATTCCAGGACAAACCGAATTGAAATCGGTTGCAAGACGCCACAGAGGATAGAACTTCGCGCGAGGTTGAAACGCTAAATCTGACAATGGTTTAACTCGAAGAATCGGAGACAACGGAATTGGGCTCAAGCTTTGTTTCACGCCTATGATAGTTCAATTGCCAGTCGAAAGAAGGCGCATTTTGTCAAGAAATCGAGGACGCGCGCAATCGCGGTCGGGCTCCTGGATGTGCCCTTACTGTGCCTACGAGCCTAGGAGCATGTGTTACAGAAGAGGGAACTTACTTGGTAGTTCGTGTACTGACCCAGTGGTTCAAGGTGGTGGAAAGGAAAGAAGATTGACCGGAACGTGCCGGATCGGCTAGGGGAAGCCAAACAAGCACAACGTTGCTCCCAACCGTCCCCAGAAAATGTCCTTTGCAAACCTGAAGACGGCGCGACAAGCGAAACAATCGTATGTGACCCCAACCAATCTCCAAAATAGTCCGGAATCCTCAGCGGTTCCCTCCCAAGCGGTCGCAGAACCCACCTCCGTGGCTGAGAAACTGTACAAATGCATCCCGGAATATCTGGAAATCCGCACATCGCCAACATCCGGGCGCGGCTTGTGGACGACGAAATCCTGCAGTCCAGGTTGGTTCTGATGTTTTGAAGACAGGAAGAAGTTTGACTGGTTGTAGGACAAGTGATTTTCGCAGTCAAGCCCCATGCTGCGGCTCTTTCGACTGAACGGCTGGACCTGCATTGCTCACAGTGCTTCGGCGCGGGGGACAACACCGCTTTAAAGCGCTGTACAAAGTGTCAGGCGGTATATTACTGTGACTCTGTGCGCCATCTCAATTTTTTCTCAATTTTATCATATTTTCACCGCTAACGGTCTGCTAGACATGTCAAAACGCCGATTGGGCGTGGCACAGGAACGAATGTGCGGCAATACAGCGCATAGCTGCGGCTGGCGAGACATCGCTCCCCAGCGACGCCATCCGGTGCCTTGGTCGAATCATGTGGAAGAGACAGAAACAAGGTCCTGCGAGTGTTTGGGTAGTCTCTCCTCTAGCTAAAATCCAGCTGCTTATCTTTCGAGTAGACGCGCGAAATTGACTCCCTCCAGTCCCGTTAGTCGCGTTTCTCGCATCCAACTTTCAGCTCAATGGATTGTCTTGACAGACAACAAAGACATCGAGCCAAGCGCCTACGAGCTGCACACCCACCTCGCCATCTCCCTCGTACGCTACCTCGGCCTCTCCTCCCCTTCCGAGCTCGCGGCCTTCGGCCTCGCATCCGGCGCGGACCTCGCGAACTTTGTGTCCCGCGTGCGTCCTTTCTCTCTTCATTACCTTCTCTGAAATTATTTATTCATTGGGGCACACAGTTCGTGACGAACACATTCACGATAACGGACCCCTCACTAACGCCGCTCGGCGCATGCGTCTCGCCCCCCGTGGCGCTCATCAACCACTCCTGCGACCCCAACGCCGTCGTCGTCTTCCCGCGCCCCCGGGACCCGTTTATGCACGTTGTGGCGCTGCGTGAGATCGCGCAGGGTGAGGAGGTGCGTGCCTTTTCCTTTCCTTCCTTTCCCTTTCCTTTCCTTCTCTTTATTTATATGAAGGCGATGGACTAACGCGTCACCAGATCCTCACAGCGTACATCGACACCACCCTCCCGCGCGCGCAGCGCCAAGCCGCCCTGCGCGCGACGTACCACTTCACCTGCGCGTGCACCTTGTGCGCGGTGCCGCCCGCGGTGGACCCGCGCGAGGCGGTGTGGTGCCCGACGGCGTGTGGGGGGATGTGTCCCGCGCCGACGGAAGGTGTGTTTCCCCCTTGGAATTATCGGTGAAGATAGTAATAATTTGAATTTGCAGAAAACAGCCTCTCGCGATGCGCGGCATGCGGCGCGGTGCTGCAGAAGACGGACGAGGTGCTGGACGCGGTGCGCGTGGGGCAGGAGGCGCTGGACAAGGCGACGAAGCTGCAGTTTGCTGGTTAGTACTTGCTGCCTCTCTTTGTTCCGTTCCTCTTTCCTCCCTCCTCGCGATACGATTTCCTACCTCACGATACTAGCTCCCACCTTACACTACGACCTCCATTTTCGTTCCTCTTTCCTCCCTTCCCCGCCTCCTCCTCGTTGTCCTTCCCTCTCCCCATCCTCCCCTTCTTTCTTCCTCCCCACAACATCCTTCCTCACGGCACGATTTCCCTCACGCACGACACATTGAGACCCACGCTAACCCACTCCCACCACAGACCCCGCAAAAGCGCACCGCCTCACAACGAACCTGCTCCCCATCCTCACCTCCGCAGGCCTCCCCCCATCCTCGCACCCCCGCCTCGCGCTTGCGCGGCTGCACACCGCGCTGCTCATCGCTGGGATCGCTGAGTCTCAAGCGTCCTCTTCCCCTCCCACCTCCACCTCCACCTCCACGTCAACGTCAACGTCTACACCCACGTCCACGTCCTCATCTACACCCTCCACCTCCACATCCACGTCCACCTTAGGCCCGCAACCTGCTCATCTAACACCACAGCCGCAAACGCCGGCACAAGCTCAAACTACACTCGACTCCGCCATCCTCGCCGCAACGCACGTCTGCGCCGGCCTCGACGCCGTCCTACGTGCGGGGCACCCAGTGCGCGGGATCGCGCGCGCGGAGCTGGGGAAGCTGCTTGCTGTGGACGAGCCTGCGCCGGTTTCGCGCTCTTCTTCCGCTGCTGTTTCAAGCCCACTGTCACCATCGACGTCAGCCGCAGCCGCACAACAAGCCGCACAAGAATACCTCCGCTTCCCCCCAAGCGGCCCCGCACGCCTCCGCCTCGCCCTAGACACGCTGCTGCACGCACGGGCAGAGCTGAGCGTGGGGTTCGGCGCGGCGAACGAGGGCGGGGCGGTGGGGAGGGCGGTGCGCGAGGATATCGTACGGTTGGAGCGCGAGTTGGGGGTTTGGCGGAAGGGCGTGGGGGAGGCGTTGAGGGATGCGAGGGAGGCGCGGGGGTAGACTCGCACAAGTTGTGCTTTCATGGAGGAAGAGGATAGAAATCATTGGAGGAAGAAGATAGAAACAATCAAAATCTGCATTGTTTCCGCTCCCTTGAGTTCACCGTTTAGAGCGCGCAAAGCGCTCGTCGTGTTATGATTTCGGTTTCGATTCGAATGTACAAATGGGCAGAAACTGTGATGTTACATTAGAATTGTTCGTGGTGTAAGTAAGTATTGTACCGTATCCACCACTGTGTGTCTTGTTGCATTTTTCAAGGGTTGACGGTGATAAAGAGACCAGCTGTGTTTATTGCGGTTTTCATATAATATGGATCCGCGACCGCGCCGGGTGCTCGCTTCGAATCCGAATTTATTGTTTTTTTTCTCTTCGAAAACGGCACGTGACCCGGTGGCATAAACGGCGGGTCTGAAACACAGTCAATTCAGCCTCAATCGACCTGTACTTTGGCATTAGTGGAGCCTTGCCCTACACCACTCATAATCCGGGAGATGGAGTCCATCGGGCTCGGTTTGAATGACCTTGAAGGCTTTCTTTCTCGGCGTCGAATGCCATCAAAAAGCCACGGCGAATTTGTTCTTGTTTGCGGTCTGGGTGCAGCCCTTTAGCGAATAATTGCTCGCTTCGCTCGCAATAATGACACACCGTGCAAAAAAAAAAAAGGTTTGCGCGAGAGGTCCTGCGTTCGAGCCGAGATGCCGACGCCTTTTTTGCATTTTACACAAGACCAAACAATGGTTCACTCTCGTCGTTTCGGCGCATTTCGTGGCGCTTTGACTTCTTTCGGCCCGAAAACTCATGTATTGTAGTTTCTAATGCTACTGTCACATGTGAACACCCATTCAGGCCTCTTCACAGCTCGGATTTCACACAAACATAGTTAATTCTTCAAACAGCCTGAGGCCGTCTCTATCTGTTTTCCAGCTGGTGGGATAAAGCTTTTCTATGCGCAAAAGTATAGGTAATACATCTCAGTCGGACCCGGTGTAGCTTCTTGGCGCTGATGTTGCATAAAAAGGCAGTCATGGCACATACCGTTGATTGGTGGTCGGGCTATGATCCCAAGTCAAGACCACTGGAGAAACACCAGATTCCGGGTGCAAGGGAGGTAAATAATATACT